ATACAGCAAATGCAATTTTTGATTTCTTTTATTGGCATGTGCTTGTAATAGAGAAAATACAGTAGATTTTTGGAGAGATCTGGATCCAGATTTTAGAAAATGGCATGACACCTATCTCATAGATGAATTGATACATCTTCTCTGGGTACTCGGCTGCCACTTCACTGGCTATGCTTATTAGTACAGAGAGAGCATATTGAAGCAAACAAAATGGCAGTCAGATACAACGACCACCAATAACCATATAGACTTCTATTTTGCTGTTGACATATTCAGACATTTATTAGTCACAGACCCAGAGTACTACAATTGCTTCCACATAAAACTTAATAGACTTGTTGTATACATGTACTTAATAGTTTGTTGACATAATTTGGACCAAGTTGACAACTAAGTATGTGTAAGTGTGAAAGAACTGTTAGGTGTATAATTCTTTCAGAGAAGGAGCTCTTTTCAAATGCACACGCTTATATTTTCACCGTATCACTTTTTTTAATAGACGTAGTCTAGCTTTTTCACCACAAATTCCTTCTTTTCATCACAAATTCACAAAATAGTCCTGTTTATAGTCTGCACTTTCCTTCAGAAGATTGGGACAAAAAAAGGCAATTTTTTTTAGAAAAAACAGAAAATTGACTCAAATTTTGCCTGTTGGGTCAAAAATTAGGGTTCATTTCCGGAAATATTAAAGAATATCAGAAAAAAGTGAAGAAAAATTTGGGTTTCAAAACTAATCTACGAGATTCACTGTTGTAATTATATGTCCATGCGTCTCTAAAGCTGTATACAATTATAAAGACCAGAAAAGAAAATGTTTTTGCTCATAATGCATGGCTGCTTAAAATGTCTTTTAAAATAAAAAATACAGCTTTTTAGAAAGTGTTTTTCAACAAAATTTTAGAAAGACAGACAAATTAAAAATAAAAAAAATGTGTATGCAGGCTTCAATTTTGAAAAACTAATTAAAAAAAAAATATTTCTTTTTTTTTGTATTCAGTGTGACTACTTTATAACATGAACTGATGATGGGACATTTTTTGTGTATAATTGTGGTGGTGACCTGCTGCCTGGTCTACAAATGCCAGTGTCAATGGACAGGTGCTGATTACTGGAATAGCAGATATGAAGATGAAGGCTTATTTGTTGCATATGAAACAGGTACATGTTTTTGACAATTAAGCCTGCATTTTTTTTTTCATTCAAGTTTAACAAGCACTCAGTAATTTATGTATAAAGTGCATTTGATATTAAGAGAACAAATATGGCATTTAGTATAAGGAGTGTTCTGGGATGGACCACACAGATAAATCCACAAGAAATGGAAATAGCTGTCGAGGTCTTGTGGAGGGCCACACAACTTGTTATTGCCACTTACTGTTAAATACTTCTATAGCTGGAATTATTTTTTTTGCCGAAAATTCATTTTGGTAATTTTTCATGACATTTTTTTATTGAATTTTGATGAGTTGAATGAAAAACTGGGTTTTATTTTCACTGATTCTTCTCTTCAGTGGAAATATCGAAAATAAATTCCAAGTAAAGTATTTTACAGAAAATAGTATTCCATTCTCTCTAGTCATCACTTTCACTGTTCACCTGAGAGGAATAGCAGGCAAAAACAAGTATCAAGGCTCTTGCACTCCCAATGAGATCTTGGCAGCTGTTTATGTCTGTTATAAAGATTCATTGCTGTACAGATGGGAAACTCCTTACAGTGATCCTTACATTTTTTGTACCCGTTTAATGAAAGCGTTTATTCATTTTATATTTTAGTAGAATAATTTGCCATTATTATATTATAATACAGTTTGTTTCTTTTCATATTTCTGAAACAGTTGTGCCAACCTTCGCAATACCTTCAATACATGTAGATTCATGGGTGCCCTGTAGGTAGATACAAATCCTAATTTTAGTGTGATACCTATATATTGGTTTCTTCCAGGTGTTGACATGTGGAACGGTCTGTGGTCACATTCATCTGCACTGAATGGTGGTTATGGTAGAGCGACAGCAGACTACAGTATAAAGACTTGTACTGGCTGTACTTGTGATGATAATAAGGAGACAATAACTAATTGTAATGGACCTTCCATGTAAGCTAAATGTAGTTATATACAAATGTATATACAGTGCACATGTAATAAATAGACTTAAAACCTTTTTCTCTGGTCAGACTCTATCCCAATTTTGTTTTGAATAAATTCTATACATTTCTATTCTTTTATGGATTACCTTCTTTCTTGTACTTGCATACGGTTTCTCACCTATAAAAGCTTTATTATCACAAATCCCAAAACAATAAATTATTTTGATACTAGACCCTTCTCTGGTGCCACTGAAATTGCTCAAATACATGTACATTTTTTTGTAACACACTCTTTCCCACGAGATCCTGCGGTATGTTAGAAATCAAACATGAAACAAGACATACAAATGTCAAAGTCAAAGTGATGTCAAAACTTTGCGTGGGATCCGTGGGAACACGAAAAAGTATTACTGTCACCGCCATATTGTTCCAAACACCAAAACAGAAACATTGCTAGCTAAGTTGCTGACTGCTTTGGTGTACGCATCTAAAGATCGTTGTCTTACTTGACCTCCTCGGATCAACTAAGACGTCATGCGTTTCACTCCTGTCTCATCAAAAAAATGAACACGGGAAGGGTCAAATTGAGAAATCATGTTGATATAATTCATGATTCTGTCCATGTTATGTTCCGTCAGCTGTTCTTTCGGAATAGACTTAATTTTTGTTATGAGTACTATTCGTCTAAATCTCGCTTGAATGTGTGGTATATGGTTCTTGTGTGTGGGGTGTACAAACACGATCATCCAACAGCTTTCTTTTCACTTCACTAGTTGACATAGATGCTTTGTTGGCCTTCAAAAACTCACTACTTTGGAGATCGCCTCTGTACGTGAGCGACTGGTCGACTTAGAGAGGCGCGAGTTTATCCTGTTTCCCTGAAGTTTTCGACTATGCTATGTGTATATGTGTATAGTACTGATCGACCTCCCAGCCTCATTGGCTAAATATTGCAGCGAAAATCCCTCCAGCCTCTGACGTACTACATGTATATATGATCAGGTTGTAGGATCAAACCTAGAATTTTGCATTGTGAAATTATTAAAATTGTTGTGAAATTTACGTACATTGTACCGATAGCACTTTATTGTCCAACGCAATGAAATAACTGTAATAAACACAAAATTCAAAATCAAATTGCATACATCCAGTCACCTATCAAGCAAAACATAAAATCTCACAGTGAGTGGAAAATTTTCAGCATTGTATTAAAAATGAAAAATAAAATAACTATGAGACAGAAACTGGCATATCATCAGGCCATTAAGTCCCAAAATAGACAAATTTTCTTGTTTGAATGTCAAATCTTCTAATTGCATGGTGAACTTGTTACACAGTCTTAGTGTATGTAGCTTGTGTACATGTACAATGCCTTCATACTTTCAATTGATCAAAGATAGCAGTACACAGCAACCAAACACTCTGCATGGAATTTTTATAGTTCAATGTCAGATTGTTGCTATGACAAAACAGTAATAATCTTATTATGACTTTTAGATAGCCAGTGTAAATGGTTATGTATACCATTAAATACAGTGACTGTTGTATCATTGCCATGACACCTTTAACTGGTGTACTTGTATTGTGTGATAGATTTCCCGTTCATGCCTCGTTTAACCAGTGCTATTCCATTGTAATTTCTCACTGGCTTTAAAAACCTGAATTCAGAGTCTTAAGGAATTTGTCTGCATTGTATGTTATCATAAATACAGCATGTACCTGTGTGCATTGGCATGATGTTGTCTAGTTATAGCTAGTATTACTTAACTACTTAAAATATAAACCTCTTCTTTTGTTGCTTGTCAACATGTGCATGGATGAATGCACTTGTTTTGTCGTTGTAAATATCATTGGCAATACGATTAATAGCCTGCTGTACTTCTTTGCAGATAATAGCATGGATACTGTTCTGAGTCTCTCATAAATGTCACTCATAAATTCACTTTGATTGCATTTTGAAATATACTGATTTGTCAAACCAATCACCAGTATTAAACTTGGTGGCTGTTAGACGATCATGATAAATATCAAAAAGAGGGACCACCTCTACACAGAGAATGTTAAAAACCCATATTAAAAATTCATTCCTTTGCAACTTTTGAAGAACCTAGGTTAGGGTGCACATACATGTATGCTTGCATTTAACCTTTTCACCACCAGTTCCCTCTTTTCATCATAAATTCAAAAAAATAGTCCCGCTTATAGTTCTTCAAAAAAAATAGCCAATCTGTTGGCTCGAAAATTAGGGTTCATTTCCAGAAATATTGAAGAATATAAGAAAAAGTACAGAAACAATTTTGGCAACGACGTCTGGTGATGAAAAAGTTAACCCAGCTTGGTTGACACATTGATAGCACATTAAATTGTTATAATGCTATAATGATGTGTCACACAGCCAATTCTTGTGTTCCCATATGTGAAATATGGTTTCTGTGACAAAAAGCACTACCATATTTCTCTATTATTAGCAACAGAGATTGGGTCAAAATAAGACATATTTCAACCTTTACACCACTAGAATTTCTTGCCCAAATTTTTCTGCACTTTTTTCTTATATTTTTTAATATTTCTGAAAATGAACCCTAATTTTGGAGCCAACACTCAAAAAATTTGGCTATGTTTGTCTCAATCTTCTGAAGGGAAATGCAGAATATAGAAGGGACTATTTTGTGAATTTGTGATGAAAAAAAGGAACTGGTTGGGATAAAGCCTATAATAAATGTACTTTTTTGTTGTTTGTGTGCATTTATATTGGAAATTTATTTCTATTAGAACAAGTACATGTATGGTATACAGTGAAAGGCGGGAGGCTGTACCTTAGTTTATAAACACATTTATATTTTTTATTTATTTTTATTTATTTATTAACACTTACTCACTCCCCGGAGAGAGTGGCAATGGTCATGGATATTAGTAAAAGTATACAGTATTAATACACTAATAAGGAAGTAAATATAAAAAAAAAAAAAACTAATCTAAAAAAACAGAATATTAATGGGAAAAAAAAAATAATAAAACAACTCCTTCAATTAATCCAAAATTTTTTGTCTAATTTCAAAGCACTTGTTGATATACTGTGCTACCTGGATGACAATACTATCATTATTTAACAGTGCAGTGAACTGTTCTTCAGGAGGCAGGTTGTGAAAGGAGTCAATCACATCAGCCGCTGTATTGAATAGAACACTGGGTCTATTACTGTATTTGGGACACTCCACCATAAAATGAAATTCATTTTCAATGGTATCTTGGTTACACATGTCACAAACCCTGTTATTGAGTGGAATACAGTTGTGTCTGCCAGTCTCAATCTTGAGGGCATGGTCACTCAGACGGAACTTAGCCAGACTAGTTCTCAAATCAATGTTTTTGATATTGATGAGATATGGTTCCATACTGATATTGAATTTAAATGTTCTGTAAGTTCTGAGTTTGTTTTTTCCCTCAGACTTTTCACGAATATCACTATGGATTTCTTCTTTCCAGTGGAATGTAAATTTATGCTTGAGGTTGGATTTGATGATATTTATGTCTGTTGAAGTTAATTTATCACTTTTATTAATTAAACATTCCTGTTTAAAATTCTTCAGCAAGTCTGTAATTTCCAAATACCA